AAAAGTGGTCGCGGTCGCTTACACAGGTGGTCGTTTAAGAGAGATTCCAACTGTAGTGATTCGACTGGGAATAAAAAGTTTTGTGTTTGGATGGGTGCTCGCTTACGAGAGGTAGTCTTAAATGGAGGTTTAACTGTATTTCTAACATATAAGTATCAGTTTCATCTTTTCTAGTACATTTCGCCGCAATCGAAACATAGTTGCATCACCTGTAAACATTCATGTCGCAAAATATATATATGATACACATTCCAACTCTACTTACTAGGAAACACAAAAAAATCAAAGAGCAGATAACCTGCGATTCTCTGTTGAATTCTTTGTCCCGGATCACTGCACAGTGGGACCCCTTAACACAACTACGTAATAAGAATAAATCGCTAAAAGAGGAAGTCTAACATTTAATGAATTAAAATGATAGAGCCATAACGCACGTCTTTTCCAAACTCCGCTTTAGGGACTCTCGCTTAATATACCGGACACTTGATAATTACAAACAGTTTACTTTGTCCCTTTGGACAGAAAGCCATTATATTTTCTATAAATTCAATCCGCTTAATACGGACACCTTCTATGTCACGCTCAGTATCAGCCCATTGTGCGTATTAACGGGGTTGACTGTATTTAAATGATAGAACTACCTACCCTTTTCATCTTAATTAACAACTCGTGTATTGCCTGCCATTTTATATACCTGAAGGCTGAAAAAGGTACCCCTTTCGCGCGCGGAGAGCTGGCAGTTTACCCTTTATTTGTTGCCTGAAACCGTCTTTTGTACTTCTATTGGCTTATTAGGGAGCTAGCAACATCGACGGTGACGGCAACGGCGACGGCCACGAAAACCTCACTTAAAAAGTGAAGTCGCCCTGCTTCAAACTTAATCGCGCTTATTCTATCTCTTTCAATGCGTCAAATGTTGGCAATTTTTTCAGGAGTTGAGTTCTTAAAGACTGTATCGAAGTTCAGGAAAAGAAAAAAAGGGTCTTTGTCTTGTTCACGTCCTCCACAAAATGTGGCGGACATTTTCACGTCGTAGTCGTGCAGTGACGGCAAAGAAATGTACAAAAAAGCGTGATGCACGTGCACAGTTGGTTTTGCCAATCTAAACCTATTGCTTTTTTGCCGTTCTCGTGTACTATCCTTTCTCTTGGGCTAAGCAGAAGTCAGTAGTGCAAACAACTCTTAAGCTATGGTAAAAAGGGCAACATTGCTGCGAAACGAGTTGAAATTAAAGCAATGTTTCGCGTTTTACTATCCACGCTCAAAACCTGTCTTGCAACAAATCAGCCGGTTGTTGGAATTTGCCCGAATACTGAGTGCTGATTGGTTAGACTTACAAGGGAGTCTTGCCATAAATAACATTTTCGTCACTTGCTTCAAAACTATAGTTTGCCTTGGGCCGGTAAAACGCGCAACATGTGCAGATTTTGCTGCAGAAAATAGGACTTCTCTTTACTTTCTGTGAAAAAGTTTTCACAATCTGCAACAATCTAATTAGTTTCAAGCCAGGTTTGATTCGTGGGAGGTAAAACGCTAAAAATCGCTATTCAACTCAAATTGCAGCGATGTTGCAAAACAAGTTGGAATTTTTTGTTAACCGTTTTACTGTCAGTACCTTTACCGACACCTGTTACAGTTCAAAAATGGTTAGTAAGTTGAACTGGTATTTGTTTTGTGGCTGCAGGAGACATGGCAGAAAATGGAGACGCAGCGTGTTTCTATCCCCAGGAAATCCTTGACCTCAACTGGAACACTACTTCCAAAGAGAGAATCCAGAAGGCTTATAAAGTATGGTCTGTGTGCTATGATAAGGTACTGTTTTGGGGTGTAAATAAGCATTCAATAAGTACGAGACGTTGGCGAACTTAGACAGGTTGTGATAACTGAAGACTGGGCGGGTGTACAGAACACTATACTTTCCCATCACCAACTATACTGTGGTTTCAGATTGGTCCAACTTTTTTCGGGAACTATATCTACTACAATAGTTTACTTCCGGGTTTTCAGGCCGAAGAAGGGAAGGGACATATGGAAACTATACATGATGAGCCGGCACCTAAAGGACCCCCAAAGGTGATCAAAATGGGATTGGGTACGCTCAGGGTCATAGGCTCCTGGTACGCTATAAAACATTTCTCTGTCGTATATAAGTTATTTCACTCATTTTGAATGCAACAATAATATTGCAACCAGCACAGGGATCCTAGGCCTAGTCGCACATGCTCAATTTCCTTGTTAACTGCTTAGTCATAATGAATAGTTGGCTGTGACAGGTCTACACTGAGCTGCGCCGTGAAGCAGTAGTCTAAAAATTTTGAAAAGTGTGCTTATGCAGTGGCTGATCTAGGGGGGTCCGGGGGGCCGGCCCCCCTTATTTTTAGACCAAACTGAGGCCCGAAGGACCGAAAAAAACTTTTTTTGAGACTGCCCCCCCCCCATATCTCAGGGTCTGGATGACCGCCCTCTCCCACCCCCTTATCTGAAGGTCTAGATCCGCCACTGTTAAATGATCATACTCTTTTGACGCTGAGTGTATAATCCGCTACTGTTCCAAGAGATGGATATGATGTCATCTGAATTTGTATGATCGTCTGGGTTAAAGTAGTATAACTCCATGCAAGTATTTCGTTTTTGTTCCAGGTCTCTTTATACATTTGCTGTATGATATGTATTTTTTTACTTCCCAAACCCCTCCCAAAAAAATCAACAAGATCATTCCTCGAGTGGCCAACTCTAGTTATAGACTCTTTTTCCGAAAAAAAAAATCAACAAGATCATTCCTCGAGTGGCCAACTCTAGTTATAGACTCTTTTTCCAAAAAAAAAAAAAAAAATTTAGCTTATAGTATATTTGCTTGTCTTGATTTTGCCCACTGCAAAACTTTCTTTTTTCCGGCCTTTTCACATTCTCCTCAGACATCTGTTACACTTTTTGCATTTGTAGGTCAAGACGTAGGTGTTACTCAGTTCGAAATTGTTGCTGGGGTACTACATACATTTTGTTTCGTTTCGCTGAATATTATAAGGTAAATCCTCTACTGTGGGCTTTTTTTTCAAGCACCTTCTAAGG